TCAATGAGAATGAAAAATAGATCTCCTTTTAAAAATATGCATAGGCAAGCATAACAAATTTCCACAGAGGCCATGCTAAAAAAAATGTGTCTTATTCTGCACTTTCAGTCTCCCATCTCTCTCTAAGGAGATGGGAAATGTGTTGCATTATTGTCCTCTGAAATTAGGGCCTATCACTATACTAACTCTAGAGATTTCCTGATTTTTTTAAAGTTTGACCTGGTGCTCAGCCTCTGTCAGGCACTGCAGTTCTCCATTACTCTTCCTGGTTAGATCCTGTCCCCAGGGTACAGAGATATGTCTGTTTGCCTAGGTGGACCTGGGTTGGAAAAATGACTATGATATTTCCTTGGATTTCACCATCAGCGTTAGACTTGGCAAATTTTCTAAGTCCATTTGGAGGTTTGAGGTGGCTTCCTTGTCAATCTTCTGGCTACTCTGCCATCTTGGCTCTGCCTCCCAAAGAAAGACTCCTTAGAGCATAAGTTGAGATTCGTTGTTCTTCCTCCATGGAACCAAAGGAAATTTCTCTGGAGCATGAGCTAAAACTGATTCCCAGGAAAGTGACTGACAAGTTCTCAGTGCGATTGGTGCCAAATCTGGTGTCCCACATCATCAAAAAGAAGTTCAAGGTTACTTGAGTACAGATTGCTGAGCTGAAGAGCCCCAACAAGTCAAAGCATACATAAGCCATGGCGGAAAACTCCGGGTGTCAACTTCAATCATTATTACACGCCTGGTAGAAAAGACCTGGAAATGAATCTGATGAGCGAGAGAAGGAAGAGTGGTGTCCTTATGACCCTGACACTGAAAGAAGACTCGGATAAAAACATCACGCCACTGCCAGTCACATCACCAGACACTACACAATCACAGAATGGAAAGCTCAACAGAATGGACCAAAAGGTCGAGTGTGACCTCTATGATGGGTCACAACTGAGGTGCGCTCAACTTGGGATTTCTTCCTTTCAGAAAGTCACATCTACTTGGAAAGCTGGTTAATGTAGTCAATGAGCCATTCTTCATTTGACCTTCCTAACTGTAGATGCAAATTGAAGGCTTCTTATTTTCTTCTTTTCTCTACATAAAACAAGTACTCATAAACACTTTGAACATCTGACTTCACTACATCTATTTATGGATATCCATTATATCCATTCATTATATATGTATATATATATACATATATAACACATACACAAATACACACACATACACATACATACATATATATTATATGTATACACATACATGTATATATATCCATTTTATAGAAATTGAATTACTGGCAGACATGAAGATGTTCTCAATACTTGATTCCCAAAGCTCTGACAAGAGTTTGTGAATTTACATTTCCCCTCTCATCTGGGCTGTCTCCCAAGTTGCTAGAGAATAGTTTTTCTCCAAATGAATACTACATTTAGAAGAGGAGTTCTTAAACTTTTTGTAATGAGATACTTGCAAAGTGCTTAGCACAGTGCCTAGTGCACTGTAGGTGCTTAATAAATATTCTTCTCCTTTGCTTTCCTTCATGGAGTCTTATAACAGTCCCATAAAGCCTACAGACCTCTTCTCAAAGTTTTGTTGCCTCTGTTCACATTGAAGGAAATGCCAAATGTCAGCTAGAAGTTAGTATAAAGATAACTTTTTACTCATTCAAATTCATAGACCCCTTGAGATCTCTTCTGTGGACCCCAGGTTAAGAAAAAAACCCAAGTCTTCACCCAAAAGAAATGTAATTTAATTGGATAGCTTTTTTTTTTT